GCGGGGCGGGGGGCCCCGCCCCCTCCGGCTGTGGCGGGGAGACGAAGGGCTGTCCGGGAGCCGCTCGGCGTGGGGCTCCCACGGGGAGCACCCGTGTTTACAGCAGCGAGGGGGAACTGATGCAATTCCCAAGCTCCTGTTTACGTGAGCGGAGCCGCTGGGCAGCAGGTGGGAAGGGGGTTATCAAGGGCTCGCTGGAAATCAGCTCCCATGCCAGCCCCACGGCGGGGACACGTCCTTCCACCCCGGCCATGCCGGGGCCCAGCCCCAGCCCCAGGGGCTTCGGGAAGAGGGGCTGGAGAGATGGGGACTCTGGACAAGGCTTTCGGTGTGCTGGCAGAAAGGACAGGACATCTTTCTTAAATCTGCTTTTAAAGCTCATGATTTATAGAGGGCTTCAGAATGCAATTAGCAAACTGTTAATTAGCCCTGCTCATAATCTTAATTGATCCTAAAGAGGAGGCGGGAGGGAGAACAGAAGTGAGAGACCATTGCAGAGCGGCGTCCTGGCAGCCACGGCATCCAAGACAGCGCATCCAGATGCCTGGTCCTGCCCTAGGATGGGGCTGGGGACACGCAGGGTGGCCCCTGTGCCTGTCCAGGGCGTGGGACCTCCCTGTCCTGTCCCCCCGCCTTCGCCCCGGGCTCCAGGGCTCGCTGGCTAAGAGCCGCTTCCAGCCACAGCAGCCAAACCCCCTTTTTGGGCACAGGGGCTGCTGGAACCCCCAGGCCAGGGGGTGCCCAGCCTGGGCTTTGCCTCCCTTCAAGCTGCAGGTTGGCAGCTTGAAAGCTTTGAGCTCCCTCTTGAGGCCCTTCCTGCCCCAAAATTCCAGGGTTTTGGGGAGCCCAAGCTGTTGGGTGCCCCAGGCTGAGACTCACAGTGCTCTGCACCCCAAGTGATGCAGCCCGAAGGACACGGCTGAGCCCCGTCACTCTCCTAGCCATGGGGAAGGGACAGAGACACCATCACCAGGAGCTGGTTCGGGGGACTTTGGGCCAAGCGCCAGCGCCACAGGCCCAGGGACTGACATCCCCCCCAGCCAAAAAGGAGAGCGGGGCTGGAAGCGAGCCGGGAGCCAAACCCGTGCTGTCTGCCAAGGCCAACACACCGGCTTTCAAAATAGCCCGTGTCCCGCGCAGCTCCGGCCGGAGCAGAGGGTGCCAGCAGGAACCACCCACGCGGGACGGGAAGGCCGGCAGCGCCGCGGCGGGCAGCGCCACCAGACGGAAAGGTCACCCCGTCCAGATCCCACAGCCGGGCTTGGGCACGGGCCAGGCACTGATGACACCAGGCTGGAGGAGTCAGCGTCGCAGCCGGCCCCCTGGCCTGGTGCTGGCAGGGTGCCTGGGACGTGTGCAGAAAGGCCCAACCCCGATGTCCCCTGGTCTCATGCGCAGGGGAAATTGCTGCTCTGGGGGCTTTGCCTCAGTTTCCCCACTGCTCCCAAGGCACAGGGTCTTTCCCAAAGTAGCAGGAGACCCATAGAGTGAATTTTCCTGAATTAAACCTCCTCAAATCCTGCTTGATTCCCAGGGGGGACCCGCTGGCAGGGTGGATCCTGGGGGAAAAGGCGCTTCTGCTTCCCAGGATATTTATAAGACACGGGAAACTGGTGCCGGCCCCAAGGGCCAGTGGCTGACTGCAGGGCAGTGCCTCGCGGGTCCTTTCTCAGCCTTGTGGGACTGAGAACATTTTGGGTGCTTGCTCCTGACCGGCAAGGATGCTCCCGCAGTGGGGGGAGGCCAAATGCGCCTGTTCCCAGGGGGAAGCAGGATTAGGCCACCACCGTGTCCCCTTCTCACTGCCCTCATCCCTGCTTGCTCCACGCTGAGGCCACGGTTATGCCGGAGGGGCTGATCCCAGGATTTTCCCAGGGGCAGGAAAGCCGGGGCTGGCCCTGGGAATGGGGCGAGCTGAGGGCAGCGGTGGGATGTGCCGCTTCGAGCAGCTGCGACAGACAGTCCATCTGTCCCTCCATCCCTCCGTCCCTCTGTCCCTCCATCCCTCCGTCCCTCTGTCCCTCCGTCCCTCCGTCCCTCCATCCCTCCGTCCCTCCATCCCTCGTT